TAAAACTTTTGCTTTTTTACCTTGACAAATGGCATGTGTCACGAACATATCATAGATGTTTAGTAAATATCGTATATCACATGAGACAATAGATGCATGTTTTCTAAATGAAATCTTAATAAGGAAATACATAAATAGATCACATAAACATAATGAAGTTTCACAAATCAATTCAATAACTTAAAAATTTAAGAAACAAATATTCAGTTCATTAACATCACTAGCATTATCAAATCCTATCATTCAAAAAATTCAATTCAAGAAATCAAGAATTTGTTATTTTTTTTACACACGGAGAAGGCAATTATGATTCAAATGAAAAAGGTTTTTACAAAGAAAGGGCTTATCAGGAAAATTTTGAGTGAATCATGTTTTTTCAAGAACAAAAGAGTTAATAAATCTTGTTTTTTCTCGAATCTGCTAGAAGAAGACATTTTTGTAATCACTTCTTATAGTTTTGCTATGTGTGGTGTCACGTTGGAGATTAGGGTTGTAGGAGAAAACACGCTATTCCTACTCACTTAGCGAGTTCTCTTTAAATTATCATGCAGACATTTCAGTAAAAGGGTACAAAGGGGAGCAAACTTACATTAAAAAGAAAAAACCGAACCTCTACCAATTTCAAGTAAATTTGCAACTTGCAATATTGAAAATCATATCAGATTTGACCTAACAATGTCGGTGACACTCTTGACATAACACCTCGTTTGATACGTGTGAATGAGTGAGAATAAAATGTTCATTCCCACTTTTCATTCATATATACCAAACACCATCATTTTAGAAGATAGAATGTCTATTCTCACTTATCATTAATTGTCATTTAACGTGGGGATAAGCATTCCCAATGAGATGCTAGGGGATGGACATTCCCACTTGGAAATCAAAACTTTGAGATAGTATCTTGATTGCTTATTAGTTATTCATACCAAAAATAAAAAAAGATTGTCATTCTCACTTCATTCACTAATCGCACCCAAACGTGAGAATGAGAATGAGCATTCCATTCCCACACTTTTTCCATTCCCACACTTTTTCCATTCCATTCTTTTATTTCATTCCATGTACCAAACAAGGTGTAAGAGTATCCCTTTTAAGTACTCCATAATCAACTTTTATGTTCATTCACTTAATTTGATCATTTTTGTTTGTCATGATTTGAATTTTTCTATAGCAAAAATCAAAGCCGCTCCAGTATATAGCTTGGATAGCTACCACTTAAACTTGCTAATTAGTTGCCCATCCACCAGGTTGACAGACTAAGTACTAACTTTTTCAAACTCCATGCCTACACTATAACAACGATAAAGCATTTATCACAAGTGTTTGGGGTTGGTCAATGAATCCTATTCATCCATTCCGTTCTAGTATGGGTCATCTCCTCTGTTAAGCTATAACCATAAACAAATACTTAACTACTTTCAACCTAGTGCATCTAGGTCTACCTCTAGATCTCTTTGCTCCATTAACTATAATATTATCATTTTTCCTAACCGATGCACTAAGAGATCTACGTTGTACATGACCATACCACCTTAATCGATTCTCTCATTTTATCCTCTATAGAAGCAACCTCTAATTTACTTCAGATGCACTCATTTCTTATCCTATCTTTTAGTGTATACCCACAAGATCATCTCAACATTTTCATTTCTACTATACTCATTTTCTGTATATATTTTTTAATTGCCCAACATTCTGATAAATAAAACATTGTTGGTCTTATAATTATCCTATAGAATTTTCCCTTAAGTCTAACAGGTATTCTACGATCTCACAATACTCTTGAAGCACTTCATTTTAACCATCCTAATTTAATTCAACTGACAACATCATCCTCAATCTCACCATCATGCCGAATGGTTGATCCCAAATAGCAAAATTGATTGCTTTTAGATATTTCTTGGCTATCAATATGAACTATAAGCTCTTTTCTCCTTCTTGTTTTACTTTAAATACATTCCATGTATAATATTTTTGTTTTATTATTTCTAAAACTTTTAGTTTTAAGAGCTTGTCTCCACTTTTTGACTTTAGAAATTATAACTGTTTTAGTCTCGTTAACTAATAATATATCATTAGCAAATAACATACAACATGGCACTTCATCCTGAATATGCCCAGTAAGTTAGCTCATAACTAAAGTAAAAAGATAAGGACTTAAGGCTGACCCTCAATGTAAACCTATAATAATAGAAAATGACTTAATCTCTTCTTATTTTAGTTATTATTTTATCATACATATCTTTAATCACATCAATATATTACTAGATACGTCTCTTTTCTAAAACCCACCACCTTATCTCACTAGACACTCCATCATAAGTTTTTTCTAGGTCAATGGGAACCATATGTTGATCCTTTATTTTTTCTCTATATTTCTCCATCAGCGATCTCGAAATATGTATAGTTCCATAGTTGACCTCCTGGACATAAAATTGAATTGATTTTCAGATACACTCATCTATTTTCTTAGTCTTTGCTCAATTACCCTCTCCCAAAATTTCATAATATGACTTACGAGTTTGATACCAGGATAGTTTGAACAATTTTATATATCTTCTTTATTTTTGTATATTGATACCAACGTACTAATCCTCTACTTATTAGCCATTCTCTTTATCTCAATAATCTTATTGAATAATTTGGTCAACCATCCTAATCCTACATCTCCAAGATATTTTTAAACTTCAATAAGGATATTATTTGATCCCACAATTTTACTTTTTATTTTCTTTAGAGCATCTTTGAAATCACTAATCCTAATTTTCTGACAATATTTATAGTTTCTATCATTCACTATATGGTCAAATTCTCTATGTTGCTCACCTATTTGGTTATCATTATATAATTTATGAAAATAGCTTCTCTACCTCTCCTTAATTTCCTCGTCGGTTACTAGAACTCTTTGATCTTCACTCTTAATACACCTAATATTACTAAATCCCTACTTTCGCATTCTCTCATCTTAGAAAACTTATATATATCTTTTTCTCCATTCTTAGATTCTAACTTCTTATAGAAATTTTCATGAGCTTTTTTTTTTGTCTTTCTTACTAACTTTTATTTCTCAAAGTTTTCCTTGCTCCTACACTTTTGTCAATTTTTATATGATGTTACTTCTCCCTAATCGTTTTTTGTACATCTTCATTCCACCACCAACTCTCTTTACTATCTAACCTACAACCCTTAGATCCTCCTAGAATATCCTTAGCCACCTTCTTAACACAAGAGGACATACTATTCCACATAATATTAGTCTCATTATCTACATTCAAAATATTTTTTTCACCATCTTATTTTTAAAAAGTATTAAGTCCTCTCATTTTAAATTCCACCATTTAGTTCTTAATTTTTTATTCATATTAGTTTTTCTACTCCACTTTTTAATAGAAAAGTCTAATACCATCGACATATGTTGTATACTTAAACTCACCGGGTATAATTTTACAATCTGTACATGTGAACCTATCCATCCTTCCGGTAAGAAAAAGTCTTTTGACTACTATTACATCCTCTTTTAAAGGTTATTAAGTATTCATCCCTTTTTCTAAATTGTGTATTTTCTATTATCAAATCATATGATGTTGCAAACTCCAAAATTGATTTTCCCAGATCGTTCTTAATTATATACCCAAACCCTCAATGTATTCTCTCATATCCATTATTATCTTTGCCAACATGCCCATTAAGGTCTCCCCCATAAACAATCTTTCCTAATGAAATTCCTTAAATCAATTAATCTAAGTTATCCCAAAAATCTATTTTAGTATTCTTGGGCAACCCTACTTGTGAAGCGTAAGCACTAACAATATTAATAACCTCTACTGACAAAATAAGTTTTAGTAGTATTATTCTATCTCCAACTCTTTTAACATCTACAACACTATCTTTTATTGTGTTATCTACAATTACTCCCACTCCGTTTCTATTCTTTTCTTTTCTGTGTACCAAAGCTTATATCCCGTCTTTTCAATTTCTATAAAATTTTCACCTATCCATTTAGTCTCCTACAAACAAATTATATTAATCTTTCTTCTAAGCATGATATCTACTAATTCTATTGTCTTTCTGGTAAGTATACCTATATTCCAAGTAGCTAACTTAATTTTATTTTTCTGTAAAAATCTCCTATCATGCCCTCTCTTATGACGATCTAGTCTATGCCTAACACTACATGGCAACCTATTAGAGGATTGTAATGTCCTAGAACACCCTTGCTTATTTGTCATTACACTGAGGTTGCATCGATGTAACATGTTTCTGGGGAATGCCTTAACAAACCACCCTTTCTTACTTATCATTGCACAGTGGTAGCATCGATGCAACGAGTCACAGTGGGACGCCCCAATAAATATTCTATAGGATTCATATCATGTGGATCCGATAATGTTTTACGCTGGCTAACAGCTACCTAACACAACACTCCTCCTTTATCCTAGCTTGGGACATGCAATGTTGGCAATAGAATAAAGCACAGCACATGCAGATTGTAGATTTATACTGTTTGACTAAATTTCTACCACTTATAGTTATCTCTTTGAATTACTTATTTTATTTTATTTTTCTAGGAGCCTAGCTATGCAATAACTAGTTATGAGCTTGTTTACACAAAGAAGAATAGGCATCCATTTGTATAGCTTTTACTAATATTAATAATTTCAGAATCTTAGGAAGATTGAAATACAATGAAATTGTTAGGTTCATTTGGGAGAAGTTCGAAGCAATCATGAATGAAGTTAATGACCCATGCTTCTTCTAGTCCCAAGTGCCAAATATTCTTGATCTTGATTATTAGGGACTTGATGGTTCTTATTGTCAAGACAAAAAAAAACTTTTCTAATCTTGAGTGTGGAAATTTAGTCTCTTTTGAGAGAGGATTGGTGTGGCATGTGTGTGTGTACGTTTGTAACTGCCAGTAAAAATTAAGATCCTGCTAATCATAATGGAAGTCATACACAACAAGATGTCGAAGTAAAAGAACAACAAGAAGTACTTACCAAAGTCGTAAGAGCATATAATCCAAAAGCCCCCCAAAAACAAGCTTCATCAGATAACACCTGTAAAACCAGAGAAACCATAAGTAAGAATCGAATCTGCTGCTAAAGGTAGGTAACACTTTTAATTTCTCATGTGAGAGACAAACTGGCGGAAGCAATATAGCTAAACTAGGGAATGACACCAAAGTAGTATAAAATGCTTCAAGCTAGGAAGGATGTGTGAGAATAAGAAACCACAAAGCTAACTATGCCAACGATAATATCTTTGTAGTACTTGAGAGGAAGCACTGATACTAGAATACTAAACCATTCTAAGATTCACCATATTTCGATGAGACTTGTAGATTGTTTGTGATAACAACCGCCAACCACTCACCCACCACACCTACACATACATGCAAGCATGCAATAAAGAGCCACCAACCAAAGAGAAACAGCATCCCCGACGAAAATGAAGAGGCTGCACGAAAATACGTAATGAAGTGCAAAATTGATGCAGCGAAATTTGATATGATCAACATCACAGGAGCCTTGTAATGTTCCCTTAATTAGAATGAGAAAAGAAGACCGAAGGTCAGACATTTGATTTCCCTTCTCACTAGTCAAAAGGTAACAAGGAGGAAAAGCAACAACAACGCTCAATATCAAAACTGCCACAGACTCATCTCTGCATGCCCATAAGCGAAAAAATTATCAATTGCCCTCGTCCAACTAGTAATGATGTCCGCATGTCAAATCCAAATCCAGGACCACAATTAAGAATATAAAAAAAATATCTATGTCATGCAAATTTTACCATAACAAATCAGTCTCCAGAAGCTTTGACAACCACTAGAACCCATATAGCAACACACACATAAAGACATACATTTTAGAGAAACCATTTCTCACATAAACAATGCATACAATATAAACCTTGTTCAGAACAGGGAGACTAAATGTCTTAATATCTCAATTTTGATTAACAAACTAAGAAGACTTCATGGTGGACAAGTACACCTTCATCACTTGCTTGTGGTTCTCATCACTGTTTTAAAAAACCTCCGCCTAGTCCGTTTAGACGTACGCCTAGGCCTAGGCGGTACCTAGGCCGCCTAACTAGCGCCTAGCGCCTAGCTAGTCCGTTTAGACGTACGCCTAGGCCTAGGCGGTACCTAGGCCGCCTAACTAGCGCCTAGCGCCTAGACGGTATTTAGGCTGCCCACCTAGATATTACGAACGTTTAGGTGAGCATTGTCTGCTTACGTGGATTGCACCTTGTAGGCCTTGATTGTGATTTTATGTGTCGTAACATACACATCCTCCAAACTCCATTAACCTCCAAATATGAACACCTCCACTACATCCTCCGACCTTGGGCAAAACCTCATCGACCACCGACCACCACTTAAATGAAGAAAGAAAAAAAACGCCCAAAAACCGCTTAGGCGCCCGCCTAGGCGACTAAGCGTTGGGCGCCAAGTCCGACGCCTAGAAGCGCTCAGTGTTTAATGTAACATTGGTTCTCATTAATATTCTTTTATTTCGTTCATGTCTGTTTGAGAAGTAATTTTTCTTTGCTTCCATTTTCTAATAATTTTTGTTCCTAGGAGGAGCAGGTTGCAGCCTTGAAGGGGATATGGGGTAGGCAGAAGGGGATTAAAGTGAAATGTAGAAGTACTATATGCACAATAGTAGGTCTGGTGATAAGTAAAACATAAGTTGAATCAACATTAATAACAGATAACAAATTAGGAAAAAGAGAAATGCAAGTTAACCAGCAACTAACTGTGTACTAATTCTAGGCACCATATCTATATTTACGTGATTGAAAAACTAGAGGTGCCTATTTGCTCTTCAAACTGAGTTAGCTCTTTTTATTCAGTTGTAATCTTGTAAAGGAGTTGAGAAAGGAATCAGAAGCCAGTTTTAGATTATGGTTTCCATATAAAAATGTCATAAAATTGTTAGGAAAATTGCACATATAGAGGATTCACATGGCGTTGAGAGCTTGTAATAAGATTTTGCTAAAGGCTTCTAAGAGCCTTCTACGCTGCAACTGGCTCTTCACTGCGGAAAGGACTCAATGAAAAACTGCCTGTTGCTTAATTAGGCACCAGGCTCCAAGGCCTTCCAGTTGCCCAGTCACCTCAGATAACCTGTGACAACAATGGATTAAACATAATACCTCTTTTGACACTTTGCTAGATGACACATCTTGAGAGATTGGAAAGGATCCCCATAATGCTCTTGGCATCAGCAGACCAATTAATGCACTAGGGACAAACATGGAGAATGCCAAGTACGGATAAGCAAACCTGCAATCATTTCAAAAATTCAATAATGAGAGCATAAAGCCTATGATATAAAACTGAAGACAAACATTTTTCTAGAAAAACAACATGAAAAAGATAAAACTTATGGCAGGAAAAGAAACTGACACCCTTGAGGACAGCAGCATGTGGCACAAAAACTGATTAATTGATTTTATGTTCTAAGTTAATTTTATAGAGAGAAGTGTAACTTTCACTACAGCAGCACATATGCATGTTTGTCAATTGTTGTACATAAGCATAGTTATCAATTAAAAAATTATCAAGGAAAGTTTATATAGATAAAGCATGAGAAAGAAAACAACTAATGAACTAGTTATGGAACAAAACTTTCCCAAAAATTTTCTAGGTTCTACACCACTAACTCTTAACAGGTTTACTTTCAATGACAGTAATTTTAAACAAGTGGAAATACATCTGAGGAAGGTTTAATCATACCAACCCATTGCATTGCTTGAGAAAAGCAATCTTACTACTGCAAAAACAACTGGAATAATGATTCCAAGGAGAATGCCAATAGACTGGAATAACATTCCTGAAGAGAAATTCAGAAGATAAGAGCACAATTTTAGATACACAAAGACTCATAAGAAAAAGAATCCAAATATATCTCGACTTAAATATGACTATGAATGACTAAATCACAATGTAGGAGACTAAAAACAGCATGAATCGTGGTTTGGTAATGAACTCTGGCATCAGCTAATAAATATCATATCTGAAATTGTACAAATTCCATTTCCTCCTCAGATGTTCAGTTTTGAAGGGAAGAGGAAAAATGGATAAACACTTCTTAATTGTCTGAAAAAGTGGTAGGTCTTTTCTGTTCTTTCTGACTGGCAGAACAAAGTTTTGATATTTTTGGGTTGGAGTGCACAGTTTGGACTTTTCATCTATCAGGTCACTGGTTTATCCAGCAAACAAGCCGGAAAGAGAATTATCTATAAAAATACATATAATAAAAGTCAAATCAGAAAAAAAGTCTGTATTGGAAATAAAAGTGAAATTAGGATACGTGATACCAATTAAATTGTAATCGCCAAGTAAAACAATATGCCTTCCCCAAGTTAGAGATGTTTAACTAAAACAAGTTTAACTATTGTCAAAGGTATTGAAGATGCACTTCTAACCATTAGCGGAAACGAATCGCAAGAGGTGAATGACATATCTCAGAACTTGAGAACTTGCTGAGGACAAGAGCTATATCAACCATGGTTATGCCATGCACAGACAAAGTAAAGGAACTCTCTTGGCTAAAAAATGCAGACAGCTTTCCTCCTCAAGCTCCTTCTGTTGTCCCATGGGGGAACAAGTTGCTGTTAATGTTTGCCTAATGACTCATAGGTATGACTGAGTATTTTCTATATGACCCATCTTTACCTTCAAAAGAGGCTGAAGAATTTGGAAAAGGTCATCATAACTCAAGAAAAAAAAGTAAAAAATAGTTTTGATGCTTTTTAAAGAAACGGTCTACCAATAAAACCCATGTTATATTACTGCATTTAAAAAGCTTTCCATTTGCCCATCTGTGGAAAATCTGACCCTGAAGAACTCTACATCTACTCGTGGCTATATTGCATCATCTACCATAGTTTTTCATAAATAACCTACTTTTCGCTGATTATAATATATAGAGGTTTATGTGAATATTACGGTTATTTGTAAATCTACAATTGACTATAATGTTATATCAGAAAAAATATATGTATTAAGAGTTATAGTAACAAAACCGGAGTGAAGTAAAATGTGGTTAGTTCCTTTCTCAGTTCTACGTCTTACGGTCTTAGTGAAACATCATGCCCAAGATGATACCCAAACTTCATGGTATCAGAATCAACACCTAGTTGATCATCTCAATCCTTTCTTCTACGGAAACAAGAGAAACCTAGAGAATTCCTTGCCTTCACCTTTTAGAAAAATAAATAGAAAATTGAAACCCTAGCAGATGGCTCACAACACTTCTGGTGTCTTTTCATATGCCTTTCCTCTGAAATTTGTGAATTCTAGGGATGAACATCAAAACATGAGGTTAGTGTTATAAATCATTTGGAGTCTGGACGTGCATTTGTCATAGAGAAAGCTAAGGATACATCGAAGGAAAATCAGAAGACCTGATTCCAAAGATCAGAATTATGCACAGTGAAAAAGAGGATATGCAATGTTGAGAGTCTTAGTACTCTATTTTGCGATCTTGTTAAAAATGATTTTTCAATCAGAGTTGTCCAAAGTGGAAAAGAGAAAAGAAGAAATTCAAAGTTATCATCTCTGTATCCTGCCCCTAATGTGTTTCTCAGACAATGAATTATAGAGGCTAGCTAACTTACTAGCATTCACCACAAGGCATTCTATAATAATAAAAAAAGAACACTAGGCATTAAGACAATTTAACTAACCACTGTGTCTATAGACAAGAGTAGTTAGGAATCACATGAAGACAACAATGAATATAGTTGTCGAAAGAAACCTAAAGTAATGTTAAATAGAAATATGTGAGCAGACACATTATAAAATAAGAACATATCCAGAGGTGTTTCATGTTAGGTTAATAAAATATAAGCATACCTTTCATCAACTTTAAAAAGTTCGCTAACCATAACTTTGCTGTTATATTTGGGTAAGAAAGAAAGAGCGGCATGAGAAAAAATATGATGGCTGGCATACTGTGAACTACCAGGGCTACCTTCCTTGAATAGAATATCTGATAAACACAAATCAGAGAATACTTGAAACACATAATCTTCATAAACAGAGAACTAGATAAACTGCGAACCAAGAAAATTGCAATATATAATCAGATGATGATCATGACATACCATAAACAAGGATAGGTAGTCGAAATAGATTGGCCGATCATCCTTATCTTTGTTTTTTAATGCTTCAATAGATCTTTGTTCAGCACTCAGAAGAACTGGAGAGCCTGCAAATGCCTTAATCAAGCTAATCATATTTTCACCACGCGCTTGAATGCTTCCAGGCCTGGTATATACACATTAGAAAATATTGAACTTCAGAAACAACAATTGGACTGCACCACTAACTGATACAGAAAGTAACTTTATGACAGTATTTCAATGCATACAATAGCCTTTCCATTGTATCGTAAGAGGTGTGATAGTAATAACCACCCAGAAGAAAAATAATATCCAATCCTGGAATGTTCCCATGATCTTCAGCAAAAATTCTGTAATCTGTATCTCCAGGTATAATGCCAAACACATCCTGCATATATTGATGAAGTAACAAGTCACCAACTATCCATGGAGAAAGGAATGCTTACTAAGGGTTCTCCAACAATGGATATTATATCATTCACCAAAAATAGCCAAATGTTGGACTAGAGGTAGACCAAAAAGAACTTGGTAAAAAGCAACTTGGTAAAAAGCAATTAAGAAGGATATGATAATAATCAACTTTACAGAGGAGATGACCTTTAGTAGAAATGAATGGAAGATTAGGATTCATGTTGCCGACACCAAAATTTTGGGATGATGGCTTTGTTGTTTTGTACCAAAGACAACCGAAAGCATCATGTCAAATAGCATTCATATCTTTTTCTATTATGATAGGAAGGATGGAAAATTTGGGCTAAGGGCATACCTCACGTTGCTTTGGGGCAAACGGACAGCTATTTTTTTATACAACTTTTACTTATATACTAGTTTACTTCTGTCCCATCTTAGTAGATAGTCATTAGAATCTTTGAATCAATGGACACATGGAACCATGGCAATACTTACAAACTACAAGAAGCATAAAAGTTATCATATACCTTATACCTACAATGAATGAAAAAAAAGAGCAACATGCTGCTAAAGTGGCAGAAAATTAATGAAGAGAAATAGGATTTTGTATTTGAAAATACTATCTCATATTATGCACTTTTTTGAATATTTTAGTAATTTATACAATTTACTAGGGGGATCATATCAAAGTCAAGGGCTAGTTTCCTTTTCTTTGTTTCTTCTTTGAAGGTAGTCTTAAAAATTTGTAACTTAATCATGTGAATTTTCACATATAAGGTATCTTGAATAAAAATAAAGAAAAGATAATATCACCATTTAATTTTCACTTGCATATCTAAAGTGAGATATTTGAAAATATTAGGCTTGAAGATTGAAACTTGGTCAATTAAGGAAATCACATAAGCAGGTTCTCCAACCTGTTCTGATTCACCTAGCAAACTATTGCATGTTTATGCAGTCGATCATGGAAAGCCTTCAGAATACAACAATACCCACAGCAGTATTATCAGTTTACATAGCTCAAAAAACGGTTCAAGTGATCTTTACTCAAAATGAAAAAAGCTTCAATTGGTATAGCATTCCAGATGCTATAAGTAAGGACTAGTTATAATAATATTTAATATTCTAGGTTGTAAAAAATCTAATATTTTGGCGGTCGAGGCAGCTCACATGTTAGATAGCAAGTGTCAGCCAACATAGTGAAACATGAAATACAGACATCATAACATATGAAGACGTACATATTGTGTGTGCACGTGCGCGTGTGTATATTCAGACAATATAATTTAGTTACATGGCATCTATGTAATAAATAATTAATCTATATGTGAATGTGTAAAAGGAGTACTCGAGTTAAGCAACAAATTTAATTCAACAAGAATAAGACATGTATAGTTTTGACTTATAAGCATAAATCCAAAGAATAAATCACCAAATAGAGGAAAATAATACAACTACTGTACTTCACAAAGTTTTGAAGCGGACTGTCAGATCAATCTTGAACATATCCCTAGCATCGACCTAAATATAATAAGAACATCGTGGCTTTGAACAACGATGGCCGACATTTAAAATAGAGTCATTATCAGATAGCATTTATTATATAGAGATCCAGATTCAGGCCCAAAATTCTACAAACCATAAAAATTCTCTTGACCAATGTTTTACAAACCACTAGGTGCTTCTATGTGTTGGGCATAGTTGCTAGGTGGGTGCCTAAGCAGACATAAGCATTTTTTTAGCATCGAGAGAGGATCTCTTTTTTCAAAGATTCAAAATCCTATCCTAGCCATTTTATCTCAGATGAACTTGGATTGAGTTCTTGTCTATTCCATTTTAACATGACCCATTCTCTTCACCCGTTATTATGCTCACATGAATAATAAACTCCTTTTTGATGTGGTAAGTCCTAATCAACGGCCCATGCTCACCTAGGCGCTCCCAAGAATTAAGCATGCAGCCTAAGTATTATCTAGCACTAGGCAGGTGCAGACTGCTTTTTAAAATATTACTCTTGATCTCAAAACATTTTGAATAAATTTAGTAATAAGTAAATATGGCTCACAATCAGAAACACAAGTTCAAGTGTAAAGATACCTTCCTACCTCTCTCTCTCTCTCTCTCTCTCTCTCTCTTTGTCTCTCTCTCCCCCCTTTCATGTTGTATACATATAAATGTGAATGTATTTCAAGTTTGTGCTTTTGTGAGAAACTAGCATGGAAAAAGAATATTAATCTAACTGAATAAAAAATGGACAGCAACCACCAGCTTATGAAACAATTAAAACTTTATTGCTGAGTTTGTAAAGAAGTATGGACCTGTGCTGCACTATTTGCCATGGGATACTTTGCAGATTGAACATAGACATAGGAAGGCCAAGACCCAGGCCCTGATTGGACGACCAAATCTACAAGGTAAAAGAAAGTAAACTATGAGAGTTCTTATCTCAGTATAAAACTTAACATACTCCCAAGAATATTACAAGGAAAAAATCAAAATATTTATTCCAATAGAAAACATACCTCAAGACTATTACAAGGAACCATATCAAAACAATTCTTATTACAGCAAGTTTACTATAATTTCTAGCAGACCAAGGATTGAACAAGAGATGTAACAGTTGTCCAGTCACATGAGTGATTACAAACCATATCTTTAGGATCTGAACTGGATTTTGATCTTTTTGGTTCTCCTTAAGTGTGTTTGGCTAGTCATCAATTTAATATACTTTGTTGTGAATCAGAACAAATGAAGTCCCTTGAAGACAAAGATGCGGATCAAGTAGAGAGGGTTTGGCATTAGCAATGTTTCTCTGAAGATCCAAGGCAAGAAATGTGTTGGAATAAAAAGTTGATGTGTTCTCATCAAATAAAGAGTTCTCCTCACCATATGGTTGACAGTGAGGCGAGTGCACACTCTTTTCCATCGGCAAAAAGAGGATTATGATGTGTGAAATGTGATTGATCTCACAATCGCCATGTTAAGTGATTTTTCTTTCAAGTTGTTCACCCGGGCATAGCCTGGATTACACCAAAAGATGTAAATTGTTGTAACTCTATGAGTTATGTTACCTACCTTGTGCTCAACTTTAATATACCGCTACAACAAAGTTGTAACTTGTGATACTTTTTTTTGGTCATCTAGCGTCACATTGTTGTGCAGAATTATCAAAGGCGTGTAAAGGGACTTTCCGCCCCATATTGTGCATCGCACATTGATAACATTGTTTTCGTGTGGCAGAAATGGAGGTGTAAGAAGTCAAAAGTATGGGTAGAGCATGTGTAGAGAGGGTTTTCTATACATGGAAATGTGTCATTTTATTTTATTTTATATCCAATGACACAAACATGTGTAGTGGTTTGTGACACTTTGTATTTTTTTCGTCGTTTAATCCATTGCAGTTAACACAACACGTCTACATGTGTCATAAAATAAATGTGGGCATATGCAACTTTTCTTACTGCATTAATTTCTTTATTTTCAAAGGTAACCAACTTCAGCTATAAACACAAATAATATTTTAATAAAAATAAGGAGGAGCATTCAGGAAAGGGATTGTTCCTTTGTCCCTTTGTTTATCAAAAGTGGATTCCTTTGTCCCTTTGAATGATAATTATAATAATAAGAGAGAAAATCCAGCTTTTATCGTTTTCTCACTCCCTAAAACCTCTCCTCTAACCTAACCTTAATTGTTTCGTGTTATCTGAGTCATGAACCAAATAATTTCATGATTCAAATCATGTTGCAGCACATACCAAATTGTATTACTACCTCTTGAACTTACAATAACTACTACCTCAAGATTAGGGCATAAAACAATATCCAAAAAAGTCACATGTCTATTTCATAATGCCGAAACAACCATTGATTCACCATATTCTCATGACCTTCAGTCACTAATCCAATGACATCAGCTTCTAACTCCACCTTCTATAATTTTTGACGTATTAACAGCTTCAGATATCATCAAATTCTACCAACCCCGGTTCCAACTGGAAATTGAAGTGTTCTATTTAACTTGCTAACTCATTCTTATTATTTCCTAATATAATCAATCTTGGCATGTGGATTTGTATTTGGCTTTTATATCTTATTCAGGAGACTTAGACACAATTAAGCTATTGCATCTTGTACATATTTTTTGTTATTTATATGTGTACAATTTCATTCAACTTGTTTTTGATTAGTTGAACTTATCATTCATTAAAGAACACTGAAATTTATCCTAATCGTTGTGTTTCTTAGGAACTTCAAATGCAGAAGATATTAACACAAGGCATGAGCTTGAGGGCCTTGAACCATCTTGATGTTGATCGCAATTTCATTGCACAATCCAGAGTCAAGTCATGTTGCATTTGTAGAACGTGAGTCATCTTACTTGGATAAGCATTATAACACGTCGTATCCACTAGTTTAACAAATGAATTTGGATTCATTTTAAGATAGTTCATTCAAATCTTTAGGGTCCACATCGAGTTGAATCATAACTTGATTTTAGGTATTTCATTGCTTTTGTTGATGACTATGCAACTATTCACGTGCTACTAGGGTTTATTTTATAAAAAGTCTTCTTAGTTCTCATTGTAAATGTTTCATACTTTACAAAAAGATAACTCCAAAAAAAAACATTTCATTTAGCTTTTGTAGATTTCATAGCACAATCTAGAATTACTTTTCAAACATCTTTGTTATACACATCACAAGGAATTGGTATGTTGAATGCAAGCATAAGCACTTGTTAGAAAGTACATGCACAATGCTCATGCATATGAAAATTAGCAATATTTTGGAAATGTGCACTTTTTACCTTGTATCTTATAAACCACATGTTTATGTCTTCTTTAAATGGTCCAAATCTATATTTCTTAGACCAATTGGTAGAACTTTTTCCAATATCTCCCACAACTTTAGTTATGTTAGATTTGTGCATGATAATCAATAATCATCCTAGCAACAACAAACTAGATCTCATATCTCTCAAGTGTGTCATCTTAGGATACTCTTGAACTCAGAAATGTCACAAATATCATCTTCCTGTTAATAATCAATTCTCGATATTTTCATCAAGTACTATCTTGTTATGAACATGAAGATGATAATATGATTCATTATTCTAGTCTACTCTATTGCTCACATTCAATATTCTGGCGAGGACACTAATTTTGATATTCTAATTGTTGATATTCTAATTGCTAAACCTAAGGGCATTAAGAGTAATACTTTCAAAATTTCTTTCTTACACTCACTTGTCTCCATACTCCACTACTTTTATCTCCTCCATTAATACTCATTGTATTCCCAACTATATTAGAAGCATTTATCACATCCAAATTTGAGGCAATCTATGTATGAAGAAACAGTGACATTAGAGCATTAATAAAACCTCCATCCAGAAGGTGCTTATATCTCACTAGATATGTGCACAGAAATGGAATCTATATAACATCTAGCTTGCTTGAAGACGCTTAGTAACAAAAGAACACCCTTGGACTTATATTGTTGATTATCGAAAATATTCTTTTTCATAATTAATGTGGTTCTTAAATGATTTCTTATACCCCTTGCAACTATATACATTTAGTTTTGCACCAGCTTGACGTGTAAAATGCTTTTCTTATAATGTTCTTGAAGAGGAGTTTGACATGGGGAAACCACCTAGTATTTACTCAAGGAACATCGTGACAATATACTCATTGTATGGTTACAAACAATCTCCACGAGCATCATTTAGGATGTTCATTGATGCAGTCACAAGGCTTATTTCCACATGTTCACTAAAATAGAGACAAAGTTTGGTCTTCAACAACGTCAAAATGGTCATTAAATATTGTTTCAAATTTATCACAGAAAAGATTATATTAGTTAAAGATGTTGATGGCGTTTTCCTTATGGAGGAGGATGATATGGATTTTCGTGACATGAAGACACGGAGATTAGTTGTTTTACTCAAAGGTCTTTCGGCTGGTACACTTTACTTGGGTGTTAAAGTGGAACTTAAGAAAGCAATATGATTCTCCTAGAGAAAGTATTTGCTTGATTTATTATCAATAGGTGGGATGGAGTGTAAACCGATAGACGTTTTAGTGGACTAGTAAATTATGTAAGCAAATCAGGAGTGTAAACCAAGAGTCCAACGATATATAGGTGACTTGGGAAGAATTTGAATTATTTAATGATAAGTCAACTAGATCTTGCATATTTGATGAATATTGTGGGCCAGTTGATTAATCCCTGGACAAGTCCACAAGATGTTGTAATTAGAATATTGTCATACGTGTAACATGCAAAGTCCACTACATCAAGTTCTTTCATACTCAGAGAACCAACATAAAAATTAGTTAATTTTATATTTGCATATTTCCCTATTGGACAAGGTTAGCAGCTCAAGTAGATTCATCATGGATAAGGTGTGTTCATTGGAGGATATTTACGTCATCAAAGAGTAAAAAACTGAGTTATTTTCAAGCAAAGTATCGATTCAGAATATCATGTTCCAGCAAATAAACTTATGTGTTAATCTAAATGTAAAAACTATTGAGTGAGCTTCATTAAAGACTACATTGAGATAATCGGGTACCCATACATATTGCGTCAAGTCTGGGTTTCGTGAGATAACTAATTGCATTGATGTGGGCTGCCTTCTTGTTTAAACAGGTAAGAGAATCAAAAAAGTCATGGAGACAAAGTATGCCTCATTCGGCAATTGAATAGTTGATCTTTGCTCAAGAATGCCTTTTATGTTTCTCTTTTCACAATCATAAAAGGTTGTCCTATAAATAATCAGTCATATAAGTCTCACATCTAATACAAAGTACAGGTGCAAACTTAAGTCCATCTATTTCCTTTCGTTATTTTCTTAATATTTATCTTACCAACTAATTTGTACCAATCATATAAAAAATAGCATAAAACTATATGGTTCTTATTAGGGCTCGTCAAATCAATATATGATAAAATTTTGTGAAATATATTGGAGTTCTGTTGCCGAGAAAAAACACATATTTCCATGAAGAAAAGGTGCAACGTAGGTGCAAGAAACCATTGAACTGTGTTTAGTTTCTTCTTTTAGTCAAAGAAAACAGAGATCCACGATTACAGTTGCGCTAGACCCCCCTCAATCGTCATACAGTTCTTGCAAACTGATTCCCGATACATTTGCAAATCAATCTCTCCGATACATAAATTAGTTTCCCAAAATTAACGTACCACTACAAGTATGCGGGGCTTGCAGCCCCTTTAAGTGCACACACGCAAGACGTAATGAAATGTGTGTAATTCAAAAGACACAATGCAATGTATGCAATCAAGTGAAGGGAGGTGCACGATAGAATATATTAGCTAATGACTTTACTGTAACTAAATACCTGTTAACAAAACGTGAAATGAAACCATGATCCCAACACGAACTATGTGAAAAAAGAAATAGCACAAAGAAACAAACTCCATAAACAATAAGTATTTAAGTATTTTGTATGAAAAATATTGAAATGCGTAACTATGAGGGTGGATTGCATCCGAAACAGTTGCTTCAAATATTTGTTTGTACTAGTACATATTAATTGTAGAATTGATGATGCATCATTATCTTGTAATGTTCTCATTTCACTAAAGTTAGCAAGGAGAAAATGTGGAAAATGGACAAGAATACTTTTAAGATTAAGGTACAAGGAAAGGTTGAGAAAAAAAATATATTTAACTCAACGTCCTCGGAAAGGCATACTTCAACAACTTTAGGATAAATTATGCTAATGCCAAAAGAATGTCTCATTCATACCAAGACCACCGGTGCCTGATGCTTCTAAATTAATAAAAGCTCCAACTGTATCAATCCATTTGTGTGCTTTTGCAAAGCCATGAGAACCCTGGACAGAAAATAATATAAATCAACATAGGTGAAGACTAACATTACATTGATATCAATAATATGACGAAAAAATAACTTTTATACGTAAACTATCATAAACAGAGGCGAAGATATGTGGGGGCCAAAGGGGCCTTGGCCCCCTTGCAAATTACAAAATATCAAGGGGGTAATTGGTTAATAATTTGGGAAAGAATCTATTCTTTTTCTTGTGTTTTTATAAAAAATCAAGGGCGATGTTAGGTTCTCTAGAACTGAGGTTGAGAGAAACTTAAAAAGATGATGAACAGTTCTTTTCATTTTGGGGTTTGAAGCTCTTTGTCTTCTTGTGGAAGAGAGGGTCTGTTTGGTGTTTTGAGTGCAATGATGTTTAATATTTAGGAGAACGGACTCAGTGTTTTGTTGATGGAAAAGAGAACCAATAGGTCACGGGCCTTTTGAAAAGTTAGGGTTTTTTATTTTTGGTTTTTTATATCAATCTTTATTTTTGGTTTTTTTATATCAATCCCTTAAATCTTTCATATTTTGAAATTAATTCCTCAAATCATTGCTATTAGGTCCCCAAATTCTAGAGTTACTTTTAAGTCTCTCAAATGATTGAAATTGCTATTAGCCCCCCAAGTCTTGAGTTATTTTGAAATTTCTCTTTGAAATCAATAGTAGAAGTAGCAATTAAAAAGAAATTTAAAAAACCAAATCATGATCTAATCCTACTATGATTTAAATCCAAAATAACCTACCATAAAAGATTTAGAAACCCCAGTTCAATCAAATATCCTATCTAAAATCATAAAATGGTTTCAAGAAGTGAAAGCAAAAAAAGAACACTATTGTAAGTAGTGCTAAGCACTATATTCTAATTTGAAATTTAATTTTGAAAGTCACTTCATGTAATGATGTTAAGATACTAACGATCATGAGAAAAAAAAAAGTAATATGTTAGTATATTTAATTATTAATTTTTGGACCCCCTATCAAAATTCTTGGCTCCACCACGGATCATAAAGCACTTCTAATAAGCATTCACAAAAGGAAAATGGTTGGAAAAAAGTCCAATATAGCAACATAACTGGGTATACAAGTTTATTATTGGATAACAATCACTTCCAAAAATAGATAGGCATTACAATCACGCAAGAAAAAGGGAAATCCTTAGCACTACTAACTATTAGCTGCACAGCCGTGTAAAATTAGAAGTTGTAGGGATTAGGGAAACCATCATAGCATCGCCATATAGAGGAATATGTCATGATTTACAATGATCCAATATTTTTGGTCTAGTCCATCTGCCCAAACAAAAAATTATACAGCTATGAAACAGGGCAGTCATGGACCTCATGGTGCTTATGTCGTGGGAACGAGAACATTGCTGGATTTGATCATGTTTTAGATATCAAAGACCCTAGGAGGTGATGAATACAAGCCATGAACGAAATCATAGGAACAAGTAATACTGATATAGTGGTGAATCTAGAAAGTGCCAAGTTAAGCAGTTCGCCGAGTAAAGCCAGAGTCTAAACGCCCTTGGTCCAATAAACCAGTAAAGATGTGGTAAAAGTTACGAAGGAAAAACACAATACTCATGAATTTCTAGCAATGCTTATAAAGATGATGCTCTTACTTTGTATTAAGAAAGGTATGCAGTAGGTCAGGATTGCTGCAATCAATATTACTATCTATAACCTTTGCCAAATTTATAAACCATTGTGATTGTGGGCAGGGATACCAAAATAACTAAAAATCAAGACTCTAGCAGGTTCATGTAACAGGCATGTACATAAACCTGACTATGTTGAGTTAGGACCAAGCTTTGTCAAAATAGGCCAGGACTAATCTAAGTATCTAACTACTTGATAACATATAATCCTGTCCTAAGGTAGCATCAACTGTCTGAATTAATTGTTAATAGATTTTCTTCGCCGACCTAGAGGCCAATAGCTCAAAGTGATTTAAATTGGATTAACTGGGACCATATGGAAGAGTAAAGAGTTTTGCTTAAGTGATCTAGAACTCAAGGGGCTCATTAATTCGGATCAATCTTGATCCCTACAGAAGTCAACAGAGGTTTCTTAGTTCGTCTAAGTCCGAAGACCCCAAAAATGCAACCTAGTCTGACTAGTTGTGGAGAATGCTCATAGATGTTCTGGTCTAAAGTCTGAAGGCCCTAAAAAATGCAACCTAGTCACTAGAAAATATATCCTCTTCTCCTCTTTTGTCATAATTAACTTATTTTAGATTTTCTTTAGGTAGAAATTTAAGTTTGAAATTAAATGAAGATAGGATTCAGGATTTTTGAGTCTGCAAGCCTGTTCTTGTTGATCTGAGTCTGCAAGCCTTTTCTTGTTGATCAGTCAATTCTTATAGAAAATTCATTTAGAAACTTTAAGTAAGATTTTGAATACCAGTAAAAGACGACAACAGGCTTCCCCTTTGACTAAATGAGGCTAAAGAAAAATAACTACTACAGCCTACAGGTGTTGGCAGCAAGAAGGAAGGAAACAAAATAGTCATAAGCAAAGAATAACAGGAAAAAAAAAGGTTGTGGAAGCCTCTTCTATAGGTACGCAGAGGTATTATTGTTGTGAAAACAGCCTCTTGTAAAAGTGCAAGGTAAGAATGTGTACACTAGACCCAAAGTGGTCCAACCCCTTCCTGGACCCTGCGGGTAGCAGGAACTTGATGCACTAAAGCCACCCTTCTACTACAAGCCTATTATATATTATATGATATCTACTCTCCTAGGTAGCCACGTGTCAAATTGAAAATGTCTACTAGACTGCTATCTTGTATTACATCATACACATAACTATCTGGTCACCGGCGGTCTTGACCTTATGAGCCCAAAGGCAAAGCAGGCTATGACAACGAAATTGGAAAAAAGGTAAACCATGAGGTCATTCTTATGACAATAACATTAAAATCCAAGGAATCTACCAAACTCACATTAAGCAATCTAAAACGGAGGCAACTACTGGCAGATCAGAAAACAGAAGCAGTTTATTCCAGATATGAAAAGTTGTGTTGATGTGGAAGGAAATAAATGGAAGTGCAAAAAGACTTATAAGCATTCTCTTTCATTTGTCTCTTTAAGCAGGATCGTTGACTTGGAACAAATTACAGTTTAAGTTTTATTGTTTTCTTTTATTTTTATTTATTTATTTTTATTTTTATTTTGCACTTCCACTCAAAATTAAGAAGAAAATAGAATACGTTAACAACCTCTCTTTCAGTTCTCGTATCTTTCTATGGAATCAAACACAGCTCAGATAACTTTGGTGGGAAAAAAGGTAGTTTGTACTACTCATCTGAAAGATGTAGAATACTGGCTAAAGTGACCAGCAGTTTACCACATATGAATATCATAAATGCAATCCATCAATAGGGGAAAGATAGCAAATTAGCAATATATCAATACGAAGGAGCTAGCAAAGTAGAGAGAGAAGAGAAGTATTTCCAAATGTAGCTTGTTACCAAAAGGAAAAGTTCTTCTGCACCATTGAAAAGAAAAATTAAAGGTCGAGGTGGAACCCAGCTTGAATCAACCACAAACCGTGCTAGTTCAAGCATCGTTGCTGAAAAATAATGAAAGCAAAGTTTAAATTTCAATGGGAGAAGAAAATTGTTGAAGAAATTTGAAGTCTCCAGGGAGTATGATACCACTCACCAACACAAGAACCACAATCGCCTGCACCAGGAGAACCAAGTGGACTGTCAAAGTGGCCATTCACTAAGATGGATGGATGATGGTCTTTAGAAGAATTTGAAGAAATCCTATGAATAAATTGGAAGTCATAAAAAGTCAGACTTTTGAGATTGCACAAGAATGGAAAGATGCAGCATACTACATAAGGTGGAGATTAAACGAGTAAAGAAGCTAATTTTTCCTAGCTTTCAGTTTTAATCGTTCATTGGCTTAGAAATGTCAATAGTCTTACTTCATCAAGTTCAGATGATGTACATTCCTAGCGGTACAACATTAGGGTATTATGCAGGCATAAATTTCACCCTATGAGCGAAGAACACGAATAGGAGATACAAGTGTGATGAGGTACAGATACATCTATATGGAAAATCTAAAAAAAACATATGAGAAATATACATATTGCTTTATACACAAGACATACATACAGATTCACTGATACTGATACAATAAAACATAGCTACATGGATAAGGCAAATCCTAGAATTTAGTATATAATATGTTATAGACACAAGATAAACAAAATTATATTGCATTTATTAGTGTTCAATATCTCCAATATGAAACATTTCTAAGTTATCTAAACTGACAGTTTAAGAGAAAAATCACACTCTTTATGAAGAAATATAGAAACTTTATGTAAATGTAATAACATCTACAATAACAATACTCAAATCCATCAATCATATGATTTTAATTTATTAATCTCCGATTCATCTATGACACATTTTACAGTGTATCTAATGTATTGAAATTACAATACCCCCAAAGTAATATCCAACATGTATCCATTAAGACAGGAGTGTAAAGAGTATTAGACATGTAGCCAAATCGGAGATGTCTCATTAGACACATTGGTTTACATAGCTTTCACTCTTATAGAAGTATATACTTCATACTGTGAATTTCATTTATCACATCCATAATTCAAACTCATTATTCCACTCTTTTATGAGTACAAAAAGCTTGTCTCTCTTTAGTCCAAATTGTTGTACTTTTTCCTCTGAAGTGATAAGCCACATAATTTCCTTCCTATATTTCTTCATCCTTTTCGTAATCTCCCTCCGAAAGTTTTATTACCAACATGGCAACATCCAAATTCCCTTAACAAAGATATGGCATAATCAATGTTATAAAACGCTGCAACTATGGCGAGATAGTGGTCACAATACTAGTAATGGCCTATGTCGCACTGCTATGGTTGAAAGTGGTGATATTTATCAACATCAGCGCTATCAGCTTGAAATCAAGTCCAATAGCTCCTAAAGCACTAAAAAGTGCTTCAAAATGCTTACAACACTGTACCACGCTTAATATACAAATTTTCGGATCTGTCCCCTACCCAAACAAACCGAAAGTCTTAGGTAGATAGGTTTTTTTATACCTGACCCAAAATCCCTTTTTAACTTAAAACTCATTTCTTTCCCTGATTTCCTCTCTCTCCGCTGTTTGAGCTCAAGAAAAAGCCCCAACCTAAAATCGCCACCACCACCTCTTGCAGACAAAGATCATCGAAGCTCTGCCACCACCTCTCATTGTCGAAGCTCCACCGTGACTCATCACCGAAGCTCCATTACCTCTCATCATCCTCTCATCGTCGAAGCTCCACCTGCTCTTTATTCTTCTTGAAGCTTTTCAATCCTCTATTCCTGGTGAACCTCTTGTCTTTGCCAACTCTATCTCCACTTCTCTTCAAAACACCGCTACCTCCTTCTCAAAATTCCTATCTCATTTTGTACAGTATTTTATTAATTGTGTTATTGTTACACGTCCATTTCATACTTTGGATCTCTATAAATAATCAAATATGCATTTGTAGAATTTTTAGATTTTTCTTCAATCTTTCTTTTTTTAATATTTATACATAATTAAATTGGACCATTTTTAGACTTTGTGCTTTTTGCCTCTTTTTCCGCTAAAGCCACAAATAGCATTGGCGATGCCTCACCGCTTCATTACGCTTTCTGCTTTCCACAACCTTAGGTATAATTAATTTTCTCCAACAAATTACATAATTTGACGATAGAACATACATGTTACTTGGGCTTTCATCTAATATGGTTATGAAAAGAAGTTTTACTATAATGATTCAAAAAAAAATGATCATTTGTTCAGGAAGTCTTCTACAAAACTATAAGCATCTATGATTGTTTCAGTAAAAATAAGATCAACTATGCTGCAGCATGCTCCATAAAATATTTGACCATATTTTTTATGAAGGCCTATCAACCTGAAACCACAATCCAAATGGACATTCCAAGGTAAGGAAACGATATAGAAACTAGTGCATATCCTAGAAATTGGAAGTTAAGTTCTAGTTAGGTAAACAGTGATTAATAGGAGTGTTTGGGAACCATGGTGTTTCCTCCATTTCCATGGCGTTTCTGCCAAAACAAAAACACTATTTGTTTGGAAACCATGGTGTTTTTGTCATCAAAAACATCCAAAAACAAAAACACCACACTACTTCAAAACACCTCTTAGGTGTTTTGAATTTACAATGGTGTTTTGAGTTTAGGTGGGATGTCATTAATAGCTAAATATAGTATATAATATTATAAGTAATATATATTTTATTACTAATTATGTTCAATATATAATATGATTTAATATTATATTATACATTATACTATATTACGTCATATTATTAAATAATATATAATTGAAATAACATATTAAAATATGTTTAATACAATATAATATATCATATTTTTTAAGTACAATATCATATTAATTTGATATGTTATGCTAAAATGATGTGCTATAATAATAAAAATAATATAATATGATTAATAAATGATATCAATATATTATATGTTATAGTAGTATATATTATATTAACTTAATATAATATAACACATCAATAAAATTAACATAATATAACAATTTTATTAAATTAAATTATAAATATATTAAATAGATATTATAAAATGGAAGTATATCATATTATATAAATGACATATATTATATAAATAATATAGTATATATTAAATATTACATAATAAAATTATATTATATATTAATATTGTATATTAGAATATGTTTAATATGTTATATTACGACAAAATTGTGTCAAGGCCCAAATGAGAGAAGTTGATGTGCCATGCCCCCTTGTAGTTTCATCTTTATGTATAAACTCAAAATACAATGCAACAATGTTTTTCAGCCCTTATTCCCTGCCAAATAAGCACAGAGAGTGAAAAACATAAAACCCAAAAATGCCCTTATTTCCTCTTCTTTCTTCTCTCTTAATCTTAATCTTCATGGTTGCTCCTCTCTTCTCTCCTCTCCTCCTCTCTCCTAACCCTAATCTTCCTCCCCTCTCCCTCTTTCTCTTATTCTCTCCTTTTTCCCTCAGACACTGACATCCCCTCTCCCACCTCCCTCTTTACCACCACCGACCTCGAGTGCACCCTTTGACCACACCATCTTCCTCTCCCACCTCCCCCTCAACCACCACCGATCTTGGGTGCACATTCCGACCCTGTTGTCTCCTTTTTTTCACTGCCTCCTCTGCCACCACCAACTTCCAGCATTGCCTCCAATATCTATGACAAGATATCCTTCTTCGAGATCACCGCCAAGAAGAGGGTGTTCTTTCCTCAACTCAAGAATATGTTGCGAGAGATGTTCTCTAGAGATTGCTCCCAACTCATCTCTACAACTTTCACCTCAAAGTCCAGAATGTCTGTAATGGAACTAGATGTTTTGGGTTAGTAATTTTGATAGAAGAGTAGGCCATAAGGGACCCTAAATCATGTGTGGATCTTGAGTTGAGAATTGTCTTTGATTCCCAGTAGATGTTTAATGTATTGCTTACAAGATTAAAATTTTATATGTGTTACTCTTTTTAGTAATTTATATTTATATTTGGTATATTAGTTCCATAACTACTTTTAAATAATGAACATTATTGCTTTAGTTTTATGTTGAAAAGGAGATTTTGGCTTCTTTTAAATTAATTGAAGAATACATAGAGTAATAAGACCACGCCACGAGATAAGTTTGGTTTCAAAATGTGCAAATTTCGTCTTAAGTCTACGTCCTTATCTATGAAGTTTAAGTCATTTTCTATGAAGTTTAAGTCACTTCGTATTAAGTTTAAGTCATTTTATGTTAAGTCTAAGTCATTTTTTGTGAAGTTTAAGCAATTGTATTTTAAGTCTAGGTCATTTTGTGTTAAATCAAAGCCCTTCTCTGTGAATTTTAAGTCATTTCTTGTGAAGTTTTAAGTCATTTCATATTAAATCTAAGTCATTCCATGTTAAGTCCAAGTCATTTTCTATGAAGTATAAGCAATTGTGTATTAAGTCTAAGTCATTTCGTGTTAAGTATAAGCTCTTTTCTGTGAATTTTAAGTCAGATCCTGTGAAGTTTAAGTCATTTCGTATAAGTCATTTCATGTTAAGTCTAAGTCATTTTATGTGAAGTTTAAGCAATTGTGTGTTAAGTCTAAGTCATTTCATGTTAAGTCTAAATCCTTCTCTGTGAATTTTAAGTCATTTCCTGTGAAATTTAAGTCATTTCGTGTTAATTCTAAGTCATTTCCTATTATGAATATTTCATTATTTGTTATGTTGTATCTTATAAAGCTGCAATTCTTATTGAAGGAAATGAACAAAGAAGCAGTAGGAAAAAGCAGCGAGGTCTCCATAATATTTTTTTATATATGATCTATTACTATCACAGTCTAAGAAACTATCTCTCTTTGGCATTTCATCAAACACTTCATAAGCAATCTTTAAATCATCACATATCATGTAATGAGAGAAATTATGTAGATGAGAGAAGGTCATAGATGGTTTTAAAGGAGGAGAGGGGTGGTCAAGGGAGGAGAAGATGGTGGTGAGCTCGGAGGAGGAGATCTTGTCGTCATCATTAGAGTCGAACCGAACTAGTTGATGATAAGCTTGAGGTCGATGATGGCAGCGAGGGAGGTGGGAGAGGGGGACGTCGGGGTCGAAGGGTGTGCTTGAGATCAGTAATGACAAAGGCGGACGCCGGAGATGGAGACGACGGGATCGGAGGAGGAGAAGAGGAAGTGGGAGAGAGGAGGAAGGTTAGGTTTAGG